GACAGTTTTGTCTTATTCCTGACCTTAGGGGGAAACCTCTCAGTTTTTCTCCATGAAGGATGATGTTTGCTGTGGGTTTTTCATATATGGTTTTTATTATGTTGAGGTATGTTCCCCCTAGACCTACTTTGTTGAGAGTTTTTTTTTTTTACTCATGTAGATGCTGTACTTTGTCAAATGTCTTTTTGCATCTGCATCTGTTGAAATTATCATATGGTTTTTATCCTTTCTCTCAACAGTATGATGTATCACATTGATTGATTTTCAAATGTTGAACCACCCTTGCATCCCAGGAATAAATACCATTTGATCATGGTGTATAATTTTTTAATATATTGTTGGCTTCAGCTTATTAGTATTTTGTTGAGGATTTTTGCATCTGTGTTCATCAGAGATATTGGCTTATAGTTCTCTTTTTTTGTGATGTCTTTATCTGGTTTTGGTATCAGGGTGATACTGGCCTCACAGAATGAATTTCGAAGTTTTCCTTCCTCTTCTACTTTTTGAAATAGTTTGAGAAGAAAAGATATTAACTCTTCTTTAAGTGTTTGGTCTAATTCATCTATGAATTTGTCTGGTCCTGACGACCAGACGTTGAGAATTTTTGATTACTGATTGAATTTCATTGCTGATAATTGGTCTGTTTAAATTTTCTATTTCTTCCTGCTTCAGTTTTTGGTAGGTTATATGTTTCTAGGAATTTATCCATTTCTTCTAGGTTGTCCAATTTGTTGGCATATAGTTTTTTTTTATAATATTCTCTTCCAATTATTTGTATTTCTGTAATGTTGGTTATTTCTCCTCTTTTGTTTGTGATTTTATTTCAGTTCTCTCTCTCTCTCTTTGATGACTCTGGCTAGAGGTTTATCAATTTTGTTGATCTCTCCAAAGAACCAGCTCCTGGTTTCACTGATCTATTCTACTATTTTTTAAATTTCAATATCACTTATTTCTGCTTTAATCTTTATTATTTCTTTCTTTCTGCTGGTTTTGGGTTTTGTTTGTTCTTTTTCTGTCTCCTTTAGATGTAAGGTTAGGTTGTTTATTTAAGATTTTTCTTGCTTCTTGAGGTAGTGCTACAAATTTCCCTCTAAGAACTGCTTTGGCTACATCCCAAAGATTTTGGACCACTGTGTTTTCATTTTGTTTCCATGTAATTTTTTATTTCTTCTTTGATTTCTTGGTTGACCTATTCATTGTTTGTAGCATATTATTTAACCTCCATGTATTTATGCTCTTTCCAGATTTTTTCCTGTGAATTCTAGTTTCATAGGATTGTGGTCAGAAAAGATGCATGGTATGATTTCGATCTTGAATTTGATGAGGCAGTTTTGTGAGCTAATATGTGATCTATTCTGGAGAATGTTACATGTGCACTTGAAAAGAATGTGTATTCTGCTGTTTTAGGATGGAGTGTTCTGAATATATCTGTTAAATCCATCTGGTCCAGTGTGTCATTCAGAGCCACTGTTTCCTCATTGATTTTCTGTTTGGATGATTTGTCCATTGATGTGGGGTATTGATATCTCCTGCTATTACTGTATTATTATAGATTAGCTCCTTTATGTTTGTTATTAACTGTTTTATGTATTTGGGTGTTCCCATATTTGGTGAATAAATATTTATAATTGTTTTATCTTCTTGTTGGATTGTCCCCTTTATTATTATTATAGTTGGGGGTATAAATATCTATAATTGTTAGATCATCTTGATGGATAGACCCCTTAATTATGATATAATGCTCTTCTTTATCTCTTGTTATAGTCTTTGGTTTAAAATCTAGTTTGTCGGGGCGCCTGGGTGGCTCAGTTGGTTAAACGACTGCCTTCGGCTCAGGTCATGATCCTGGAGTCCCGGGATCGAGTCCCGCATCGGGCTCCCTGCTCAGCAGGGAGTCTGCTTCTCCCTCTGACCCTATCCCCTCTCATGTGCTCTCTCTCTCTCAATCTCTCTCTCAAGTAAGTAAATAAAATCTTTAAAAAAAAAATAAAATAAAATAAAATCTAGTTTGTCTAAGTATGGTTTAAAATCTAGTTTGTCTAAGTATATACTCCATCTTTCTTTTGACATCCATTAGCATGATAGATGGTTCTCCGTCCCCTCACTTTCAATTTGCAGGTGACTTTAGGTCTAAAATGAGTCTCTTGTAGGCAGCATATAGATGGATATTTTTTTTATCCACTCTCTTACCCTATGTCTTTTGATTGGAACATTTAGTCCATTTACATTCAAAGTAATTATTGATAGACATGTATTTATTGCCATTTTGTTACTTGTTCTGTGGTTGTTCCTGTAGTTTTTCTCTGATCCTTTCTTTTCTTTCACGATATACTGGCTTTCTTTAGTGATATACTTGGACTTCTTTCTCTTTATTCTTTCCACATCTATCACTGGTTCTTGATTTGTGGTTAACATTAGTTTGTACATAACATCTTCAATCTATATTAAGTTGATGGTTGCTTAAGTTTTGGATGCTATTTTAAATAGTATATTAAAATTTCAATTTCCAATTGTTTGTTGTGAGTATATAGAAATACAACTTATTGTTGTGTATTGTCCTTTTATCCTACAACCTTGCTAAACTCATTTCCTGGTTCTAATAACTTTTTTGAGGATTGTATACAGATGGTCATATTGTCTACAAATAAAGAGATATACTTGTTCTTTTCCAATCTGTAGATATATTACGTATTTATTTTTGTGTTTATTTATTTATTGCCTTATTGCACTGACTAGAACCTCTAGTACAACATTGAATAGCAGTGGCGAGAAAGAACATCCTTGTCCTGTTCCTGATCTTGGGACTGAGGTATTCAGTCTTTCACCATTAAGTATAATTTTAGCTTTTTTGTAGAAGCTCTTTGTCAAAATGATAAAGTTCTTTTTCCTAGTTTACTGAGAGTTTCATCATAAAAGGGTGTTAAATTTTGTCAAATACTTTTTCTGCATCTATTTATATGACTGATGGTTTGTTTGGTTTTTAGTCTGCTAATATGGTGAATTATATTGATTGCTTTATGAATGTTAATCCAACCTTCCATTCATAAAATAAATGCTCACTTGGATTTAACCTGTTAAAATTTGATTAAGAAATGTGTGCTCAGGCACCTGGCTGACTCAGATCATGGAACTCTTGATCTCAGGGTCATGAGTTCAAGCCCCACATTGGGTGTGGAGCCTACTTAAAATTAAAAAAAAAAAAATTTTTTTAAGAAAAGAAATGTGTGTCAATATTCCGAAGAGATACTGGTCTATAGTCTACTTTTCTTGTAATGTATTTCTCTGGTTTTGATATCAGGATAACATTCTCCTTATAAAATGGTCTGGGTGTTTCTTCCTTACATTTTATATATCTTAGAAGCATTTCTGTAAAATTTGTATTATTTCTTTCTTAAGTATTTGGTAGAAATCATCAGTAAAGCCATCTGGGCCTGGAGTTTTCTTTGTAGCAAGCTTTTTAACTATACTTTTTTTTAGTGAACATGGGGATATGTAGGATATCTATTTCTTCTTGATGAGGTTTAGTAGTTTGTATCTTTCAAGGAATTTGCCTATTTCATCTATACTGTCAAATGTACTTTTGTAACATTGTTCCTAATATTCACTTCTTATTTTTTAATGTCTATAGGGCCTGTAGGGGTGTTCTCTCTTTCATTCTGGACACTGGTAATTTATGCCTTCTCTTTTTTTTCCCCTGATATCTCTGGTAAGAGTTTTATCAATCTTACTGATCTTTTCAAAGAACCATCTTTTGACTGGCTTTGGATTGTAACAGAATTCATATCTAGATTTAAGGATGCATTTCACTGTTAATTTGCATTTTGAGTTAGAGCTCCCTTTATGATCCCAAATCTTTAATAGCATCTAATCACACATAGAATTACTGGTCATTCTGATTAAAGATGACCAGGTGAAAAAATTCACTTACCTCAGTCCCTTTACAAAGCCCTTTAAAACACAAACTTCCACTTAATTCCTATTTTCAGTATGATTAGTATGATTCTTCCACTCTCAAATGTGTACAGTGTCCTCCAAGTCTAGGCAACTCTGTGCTTCACACTCTCCAAAAACTAATTCTTCAGTCTTTGAGGATTGTATGTGAGGTGGATGCAGTTGTCTAGCAGTGTGACTTTGGAAAGAGGACCTGGAGGTCTGTTTCTTAAACAGACTTACAAGCAGCCCACTGGTTTTTACCTCTACCTTCACCCCAGTTTCCAATTCTCAAGCCCTTTAAAAGTTCTGTGGCATATACTACATTGCTTCTCAACTCTTCCCACCCAGCTTAGGACTTAATTTGCCCAGTGTGCTAAATCAAGTGCTCCTTGCCTTCCTGCTTTCTTGCTTTCAAAATGCTGTTATAGCTCTCTATTTCTTGTTCTTTTGAGTTTATGCATTAAAACAAAAAACAACAAATGCTTTTGCTGCTTTGGGGTTTTAGGAAGAATTAGAGGTAAATACAGTTTTTAGGAAGCATGTTTAAAGGGCACTGAATTCAAGGCATTTCTCTTAGAGATAAGGAAACTGGGCCCCGCCCCACACAACAGGCTGGGGGCTGAAACAGACTGGACTTTGCCAAGTCTGCTACATGTAAGTAGGACCCCATCGGCTTGGTTCATTGCCTAACTATTCTGACATTTCCAACAGGGATGTTGTAGGATTGATCTGTTATTACATCATGAAGAATCTGTGTTCTCGACACTACTGCCTTTTCTCTTCAAGCATCAGTATACATGATGTAAGAGGTATTGCCAACTTATTATGCAAGATTTCACTTAGGCCACTCCAAAAAGGGGAGAAGCCAAGAGTCTCTTACCAGTTCCCAGCAAGGCCAATATGCAAAATTCTACTATTCTTTGCATATATGCCTTTTAAAAATGGTATTAGCAATCATGTTATTTATAATTGGCTTGATATTTCCCCATAGAAGAATTTATGGAAGTTTATGTTTTTCTCATTGAAAAAGAGATCATCTCATTTCAGGTATAAGTCACTGTACTTACCATAATCAGTAACATAAAACTCATACATGGTCTGACTCGTGCCTTTAGGTATTTCTGGTAAGTCTAACTTGCTTTCATGATTTCGTATAAAGGCCTCAAGCTTTTCTCTGCTTTCCAGCTCCAAAAGGGCTCCTAAACTCCACATTAGGCCAAACACAAATAATTTATGAAGATGTTCGACGCATGAAACACCACCTTCTTCTTTGGAGGGAATTAAACCTTCCAGTAGATTGAGAGACTGAAAATATTTGAAATACAATAAATTTTGTACTCAAATTTTTTAAATAAAAATGTTTAAATGATAATAAATTTAAAGGGAGGAGGAAAGGGGGGAAGAAAAAATACATCTCCTGATATTGCTTGATCACTGTCCTACAGTAAACGGCATTTAGAGAAAGGTCATCCTGCTTTAAACAGGCTGCATGGACTACCAAAAAAGATGCCAAAATGAGAACCTGGGGGTGTGGTTTCTATCCCCAGTTCATGCCATCAACCTCACTGAGCCTCAGTATCCTGATCTGAAAAACAAAGGGCCTAAACTAGATGTTTCCTTCCTTCCTTCCTTTCTTCTTTCCTTCCTTCCTTCCTCCCTTTCTTTTTCTTTCTTTCTCTTTCTTTTCCTTCCTTTCTTCCTTCCTTCTTTTTTTTTAGACTACATGTTTTCTAAGGTAGTTTCTGGATCTAAAGTTTAGTTACTCAAATTTTCTACAGCGGAGATTGTATTTCTTTTTCACTTTTTGCAGGGCTCAGCAAACTGTGGCCCCAGGGGCTGGTCACCTGTTTGGAAAATAAAGTTTTACTGAAACACAGTCACACTCATTAATGTAGGCATTTTGTCTGCCTGCCTTTGCAATACTGCAGCAGATGTGAGAGGTTGAGACAGACAGTTGTGCAAACATTTGCCTAAATATTTGCTACCCGCTCATTTAAGGAAAAGTGTGCCAACTCCCATTTGGCATCAAAAAGAAATGTATCTACAGTAAGATAGCCTCAGTCTTGCAAAACAAAATTAATTCAAGATAATATTTTCACTTATATTATGCATTTTAAAGTCATTACTAAATAATTCATTGATTTGGGCCTTTATGTATTACTTCTTACCTTCCCACCCTCACTGACTGGCGCCCCCTATTAAATTCAGAGAAAACCAAAGCACCCGAATGGATCATGAAAGATCACCTATAGCCTAGAAGCAGGGGAGGCCTCCATAATCTATGATTAGTTCTGATTTTTTACGAAGACTATTAAGGAAAACTGAGTATGAGAGGAACTACTTGGAAAATTGTTTAGGGCGCCTGGGTGGCTCAGTCGGTTAAGCCTTTGGCTCAGGTTATGATCCCAGGGTCTTGGGATTGTGCCTCACATCGGGCTCCCTGCTCCATGGGGAGCCTGCTTCTCCCTCTCCCTCTGCCTGTAGCTCCCCCTGCTTGTGCGCCCTCTCTCTCTTGCTATGTCTCTCTATGTCAAATGAATAAATAAAATCTTAAAAAAAAGAAAATTGTTTCAAGGTTTTCTCTATCTGATATACTCTAAATTTGCAATGCTGAGATTGCCATTGGAGTTTTCTTGCTCATCACCAGCTCTTTTTAGTGCTTTTCAATAGGACTACTTGCTTTATTCATTTAGTATAGTGTCATTATTGGGTGTACTTTCCAGGAAGGTTACTAAGCTTGATGGTGGGAGAGATCCTTCACTCCACTTCCCCTGCCAACACCCACCCTGGGAAGAGAAAATAATAAAATAGATGGCAGTAAAAGCATTAATGAAGTCTTGCAAAATCTTTAATAGGAATCAAACTTCCCCAAGCCTTCACAGCCATATCACAAAAGTATTTCTATGAACTTCAAGAATTTTCTACTTCAGACGCCTCTAAACTCCGAGGCGGGGACGGTGGGGGGTGGGGGAGCTGGAGTCTCCAATCTAAATAGTGAATGTAGACAAACAAACTTACCTGCATGATATAGTTGCACTCCAGGAGCTGCATTTTTGGATTGAGGTTTAGTTTCATATATGTATATGTATCTTCAAATATTTTATCGTACAGAGTGAGGAATACAGTCGCCTCCTGTGCGGTGCGCTTCTTCAGCCACGCCTGCCGCAAAGAAACAGAACCTCAGTTTACCAAGGAGGTGAAATCCGGGAAGATGCTGAGCACACCCGCGCGGGCTTCATGTCCCCCACCTGCAATATTGCCCTCCAACTGAGTGCGGAGCTGCTAATATAGACCATGCCCATCCTGGAAACCGTGGCGGGAGAAGCGTTCTCAATATTGTGCACCTCGAATAGAAGCTTACAACTCGGGGCCATGGGGATGCGATCTCCGTTAGCTAGTGTGAGGGTTTTATTGTCGTCCAGCACAGAATTTAAGTTCTCGATCCAAATGGCATCCACAGGGCCATCTAAAATGAGGAAAATGTTTTCACCTGTGAATAATTAAAAGAGAAAATCATTTTTCACCTGCAAAGAATTACACATTGTGTTATTTAACTGGTGGGGGTAGGGGAGGAAGGTTCACAAAGGAGAGCTGACATGTACCTTTTTTAGCTTTTAACGTTTTTCTCCACAGAGTAGAAAAAATCCCATCTGTCCAGTCATTAGTAGCAGTGTCCAGTCTGCCAAACATCTGAGGCGCAGTAATTGCTTTGGGATTCATCCGCATCTCTCTATGAGGCCTCCCGCACTCAGTTAATGCCTTCATCAGGATTGTTATGACAGTTGTCTTCCCAGAACCACTGGGCCCCAGAGTCATCAAACCATGACGGACCAGAGATGTCTCGTATAACTGCGTAATGAGGCAATCAATTGAAAAATGTGACTAATGAGTCTCTCGCTGACATTCATAGAAGTAGCGTGCTGAAATTTAAACAGCTTTAAATAAGCTCTTAGTAAAGTAGCTAGTTCACTATTTAAAAGATGAAAAAATGCAAAAAAAAGGGTTTCTTTTGCTTTACTAGATATGGATAGCAAATTAGTGCCACGTTATAAAACAATGGTAAGTGATAAAATTATGACAATGTGGAACTTGAATTCCATTTTGGAAATAATCCATTCAGGATCTCGTTTTTCGCTTCTCAAATTACTCTTCCTTGTGATTTGGGTTTACAGATACGTTTTTTTCCAGGCACAAGCTTTCTCTGCATTCAATGTGATGATGCCGCCCCCTGGTGATGGAACGCAGCAACACAAACCATCACGGTGAACACCGGCTTGATTCCCCCGCAAGTGATTTGTTCAGGCAGTGCTCCCAGGAAGAAACTGGTTAAGGGAGTGGGGGAAGTGGGACAGGCAAGAGAAGTTGGGCAGGGTGTGATTGAGGACAAAATCCTGTAGAGGGAAGCTTTAACACTGATCCTTCGGGGCACTCTGGAATGTTCCACCTGGAAGCAGGGGAGCTTGAATTTCCTGCTCCATCACCCAGCAGTTTTTAACTAAGGAGAGTTGGGTTGAGGGTGGGTGGGAAATAAATCCCAGGTGCTGCCTGCTCTTTGTGCCTGCCAACCAAGTAGCTCCAGTTGTCCTGAAGGGAAGGGTGAATGTGGGCTATTAAAATCACACAGAGGGGCGCCTGGGTGGCTCAGTCCTTAAGCATCTGCCTTCGGCTCAGGTCATGATCCCAGAGTCTTGGAATCGAGCCCCGCATAGGCTCCCTGCTCCGCGGGAAGCCTGCTTCTCCCTCTCCCACTCCCCCTGCTTGTGTTCCCTCTCTCGCTGTGTCTCTGTCAAATAAATAAATAAAATCTTAAAAAAAATAAAATAAAATCACACAGAAGCGGGGGTAAAAGAGATTCAAGGAGACATGCTAAGAACGGGACAGTGTCTGTTACAACATCCTCTCTATTGTTTTCTTAATAAAAATAAGAAGTGAAAAGGTCACAGCTGATCAGAGGCAGATTTTAAGTTATTCTCCTAACATTTTAGGGAGAAATGTATTACTACTGTAACCTGTAGTTTAAAAGCAGCAGAGATTCAGCCCATCACATTATATTCAAGAATAATACTACTGACACTGAGTAACGCCACCATATTCTAGTCCCCTACCCACTGAGATGACTAGGACTTTAGTATTCAATATAGTGTATACATATCACATAGAAAATTTTGAAAAATTTCCCAGAAATTTTTTAAAAAGTGTTTAATGGTTTTCCAGTCCCTGGATGATGAAAAATACCTAAACTGTTCCTCATATCCTTCCCTGTGAAAATTGGATATGTCTCAGACACTTACACTTCTTACAATCTGGCAAGAACAGTAAGTTAAAGTAAGAATTGTTATTTTTCAAATGCAGTGTTTAACACTCTCCACAACTTCAGCTCCCTCATTTCCAAACGCCCTGGAAAATACCCCTGAAAATCAGGCCCATAGAGATTTAATCCTGTCTCTCCTCCAACCCTTCTTGACTCTGCTGATAAACTGCCAGGTGGCTGTCACAAGGACGAAACATGATGGACAAAAAGACACCAAAAGACACAGGCAAAGGATTCAAATCTTAGTGTAGGTGAACTTGCCCACACACAGAGCAGAAGCCCAGTAGCATTCCCAGTTTCCTCGGGCCCCAAGTCCATGAAGGTACCCAGCTATGGGGATACTGCCGGCCTGATACAAGCAGCCAGCAGGGTCATTCCATCTCTCCGGCTTTTTATAACCTACTATCCCCTCCTAACTGTCCTTGAGATTCTGGTTACCACCCAACCTTCTCCCCAGGCGTAGCTAACCTCAGTAAATTACTGCTTGTTCACTGCGAGGCCAGGTAAATCCGCACTATCTCTCTAGGACCCACCCATCGTCCTGAGGACTCTGCTTGCCAGGATGTGTTTCAATTTAGTTTCAACATTCACATTAAGTAAGACAAATATCCCGAGTTCTTCTCTTCAAATGGCGATCTTTGAACAACACGCACTTATCATTATCCTGATAAGAGAGTTAAGTGTCTTTACCTGCACAAGTTTGAGATTCCAGGGTGGGTGGTTAATCAAACCTTCTATTTGAACCTGGTTGGCTACGGCAGCCTGCAGCTCCACATGGGTACTACTATCCAGTTGTAATCCCGGAAACAGGTCATTGATTAAGCTGAGGAACAGGGGTTCATCTTCGTCAACCTAAAATGGCAGAGAATAAATATGCTTCTTCAGTCAAAAACTAATTATGGGCCAGCTAAGCTCATAACACTTATCGCTGGATGCCCAGAAAATCACGTACTACTTCTCCTAACCAGACTTGTATCCTCTAGAACCAACTCCTAAACACCACCCCTGAATCCACATTACCTAGAGCATTGTAGCCAGAGCCCTTTGGCATTCAACGTTTTCTACAATCTACTGCTTCAAGGTTTGATCTCATTACTTTATCATATGAATGCTGTGCTTCTCACAAACAGGTGTATGCATTAACCTTAAAAACACGATTCATAGTCCCAACCTCATGAAAATAGAATACTAATATTTCATTTAAATTAGGAAAATATCCATAACCCTACCTGCCTGGTTCATCCAACATTGACTGGAAAACTCCATCAGAGCAGTGTCCTGCCTTCCTTATAAGCTGTAGGTTTGAGTAAACTGACCCTAATCCTCATTTTCTCCGTCTTTAATATCTACATCACCCCCTTCCCAACTGCTGACCCCTTTTGATTTCTCCTTATTCCCTGGGACTCCTCTGATGCCTTCTGGAGTTCTTCTCTAGCAGTTTCAAGAATACATTATGGAGGGAGGCAGTGAGGTGTACTGAAGGGGCAGAGGATTTGGCATCAGAAAGTCTTGCGGATTTTTGTTCCAGCTGCTCAACTGACCGTGATTGTGGGTGAGTCTTCCAGACTTGGTTTCCTCATAAGTAAAAGGGCAATAAACACACTAGCCATTCGTATCTCACCGAGTTGCTGAGAGGTGCAAATAAGACAAAACCCCTGAAAAAGCTTTGTAATAGGAAGGAACTACATGCATGTCAGCTGTTAGCATCTGTAACTAGAACGGGAGCTTCCTGAGAACCACTTCTTCCTCAACCTTGTGCTCCCAGGGCACAGACACAATACATAACACATAGAAGCCCTTGAATAAATACCACGCAAACCTGTCCATCAGCTCGTTCAAGGAAGCTGGCTATAATCATGACAAGCATGAAAGCAGTGAGTAACTATAATCATCTTCCCAGCAAACTTTCAATGTGCTTTTGGACAATAGAAATGGTGTTGATATTTCGGGAGAGACACAGATAGCTAAAATAGGCTTAGACATATTCTGAGAAAGCAAAAGTTCCCGTGGTTCTCTGTGAATCCAGGAAACCGGGATTTTCATGTTTAGAGTTCATGTTACATTATGAGTAATGGTGGAAGGCTGGACTGAAATTTGGGGGCCGGAGCCCACTGATAAAGCCTGTTTTATGGTTCACTGCTGATAAGAGGTTGCATTTCCAGCCCATGCTGGGCATACAAGGACATGGGCTTTTTGCCTTCTGGAAGCATGTGGGTAGCTTCACATACCCGTTGTCCCTGTAATCATTAATGCTCACAGCTCAACCTGAGCCAACCCCGATGTATCAGCTAAGGAGGGAAAAAGCCAGGTTAGAATCTGGAAGGAGAAGGGAATTCGGAGAAGGGGAGGTACCAGCTTGGAAAGGTTCATGTCTCTCAGTCCTCTCATGACAGTGCTTAGCTCACTGTCTTCTGGTCTGGCTCTTTTTTGAGCTCCAAGTGTCCTCAAAACAGATAGAATATTTCTCAACCCAAAGTCGTAATGAACCTAAAATGGGGAAAAAAAAAAAGGTTGTTTCATTGAACAATCCTAAATGTAGACTCACACCGTATACACACAGGTAGATATTCTGATATGTACACAGTGCTGTTCCGAGGGGCTGAGCTGCAAAGTTCTATTAGCTCCAGTCTCTCACCTTTCCTTTGATTGCAAAATGGCCATTCCATTGAATGGTCATTGGGAAGTTCACGCTTTATTTTTTTTAAGATTTTATTTATTTATTTGAGAGAGAGAGAGAGAGAGCAAGCACTAGCAGGGGGAAGAGCAGAGGGAGCGGGAGAGGGAGAAGCAGACTCCCTGCTGAGCAGGAAGCCCAACAAGGGGCTCTATCCCAGGATCCCTGGATCATGACCTGAGCTGAAGGCAGATGCTAACCATCTGAGCCACCCAGGGGCCCCATGGGAAGTTCACACTTTAAATATAGTTTGAGAATAACACAGTGTGATACAGCCCATACAGCAGATTTAAATGAGTAACCAACAGGTTACACACTCTGTGATTCCATTTCCGTAACATTCTTGGAATAACAGAATTATAGAGAAGGAGGAGAGATAGGGGTTGCAAAGGGTTAGGGATTTGGAAGAAAGATGGGTGTGGCTATGTAGGGGTTGCATGAGGAAACCCTGCAGTGATAGAACAGTCCTGTATGTTGATTGTGGTGGAGGTTACGTGAATCTGCATATGTGACATAACTACATAATACTACACACACACAAACACACACACAAAGTGCATGTATAGCTGGCAAGCTCTTAATAAACTCTGTGAATTGTACCGATGTGGGTTTTCTGGTTATGTTATTTGTTATTGTACTATAGTTACAAAATGTCAACATTGGGGTGGTGCCTGGGTGGCTAAGTTGGTTAAGCGTCTGCCTTCGGCTCAGGTCATGATCTCAGGGTCCTGGGATCCAGTCCCACGTGGGGCTCCCCACTCAGTGGGGAGTCTACTTCTCCCTCTCCCTCTGCCCCTCCCACTTGTTTTCTCTCTCTCTCATTCAAATAAATAAATAAAATCTTGAAAAAAAAAAAGTCAGCATTGCAGGAAACATGGTATACAGGACCTCCTGTATATTTCTTTGCAACTTCATTGAGACTCCATAATAATTTCAAACTAAAGAAAGGTTTTAAAAATACATTATATTTATTATAAATATATTTTACAATTATAAATATATTTTTATTTAAAATTATATATTTAGAATTATAAATATCTTTTAGAAAAGAGTTGAGATTTTTTTTAAACTCACTGATTAACATTTATCAAAGTAAAATTGCCAAGTAAAAAATCAAGTTCTACAGCTGGGGGATAAATAGATTTACAAAGTTACCTGTTTGGTAAGTTGCTCTTCACAGAGTTTGTAAAGAACATAAAACTTTTGAGCCAAGATAACATTTTCAAGAAAACCACAGCTTGCAAGTTTAACTCGCATAATGATCTGAAAATTAAGATTGTGAGATTTTTTTTCAATAACGCTAGTGAAAAACAAGTAAAGAACATAAATTATGTTTTTAAATCCTGGTGCCTACCTGTCTATCAGGAACCATCATAGCAACAGTTCTAAATTGAATTTTTAAGTTTTCTGGTAGTTCCTGGCGCCCAGCGTATCCAGGGTTCTAAAAATTAAAATTGATTTAAATTAGTGATATAATTTTCATTTCATGAATACAAATACATTCAAATTCCCAGTTCATATTCTAAGGTGGTATTGAAAAACATTAGATTCATAAAACATCCCTCCTTTCTCAAAAGTATGTATTGGACCATCCATATTTTTTAAGGTCATATCACTCCCTCCTACATATTTCTATTTTCATTATACTAACAAAGTGATACACACACACACATACACAGCACTTTTTGTAACAAAAATTAAGCATCGATGTATCTGTTGGTTAGATAATATAAAAGAAAAGAAAGATGCATAAATACCGGGATCATTATGGTCTAAAATAGGTTATTGAAATCGGAAGAAAATTCAGGATTTTACACTGATCGTTATTTAGGTAATTCTTTGTTTTATCTTTTCCATTATTCTCTGCAGTCAGAATGATAGACTTCTCTGGCTGACCATTAAAAAAAAAAACCCACAGGGGTGAGGGGAAATAAAGACGGGAATGATGAGAAAAATAGTAAAAAGGACAAAAGTAGAAGTGGAAAGGAAGCTAAGGACTCACAAGTAGCAATGGTTGAGGATAGTCAAGACCCAAAAGCTCCAAGGGAGAGATGAGGGGTTCAAAGACTAGTAAGGCAAAGAGGGCTCAGTTATTTTTGGAAACTTTCAGTCCCCGAGCATTTCTTGGGCACTGTCCACAGGCCAGATACCTTGCTCAGTGCTGGGAATACAGAGGTGGCTAGTTGCCCTTCATTGCTCCTTCTTTTCTCTTTTCTCAGTCACAGGACCCCAGTTGCAAACTGGGTGTATCATCACCCAGATTAAAAACTACACTTCCCAGCCTGCCTTGCAGCTGGTGTGATTAAATTTGACACCATGAGATGCAAAGGAGCACACAGTGTCTTTGCTGCTTGTTTGAAGAGAGTTGATTCAATCAATTGGCTGCAGCAAAACAGATGCTTCTATAGCATGTTGGGTCTTAAGGGTAAATTGAAGATGGAAATCATGATGGTGTAGAAACACAGGAGGATCATAAGAGAAGAAATCTTTATGTATTAAGACACTATTTTTCATGTTTCAGTTATTTACAGCCTAATGCAATATCTAATTGATATTTCCAATATTATTCTTAATCCAAGGAGACTTTCTTCTTTTAAATTGTTCTAAACCACAGTATCACACAATAAATTCATTCATCACATTTCCTGAGTTATAACTGATCACTTCCGGATTATTATTATTTACCCCCAACGGTTTTGCCTAGGTTTGCTTACAAATAAAGCTTATCAGAAAACTTCCTGATTTTGCTTTCTATAATTTATCTTTGCCCACTGAGACACATAAAATTCAGATTATGTTGTGTTATCTTGCATCATAGAGATTTAACTATATAGAGAATATATAAAAACACGTGACATGAGAGAGAGATAAATCTTTGAGGTTTTAAGTCACTGAGATTTGGGGATTGTTACTGTAGCTAGCCTATTGGATACAATATGGAAAACATTTAGCCCCCCACCTTACACACAACAAGTGCTCACTAAACAGTCCCTAGTATTATCATTAACCTATTACTATTTTATCTTCTCTCTAGGCTATTTTTACTACTCAAAAACATCATATGATAAGAGAGAATCACTCATGACCTCTGAATGTGTATCTTTTACTAACTAATATATGCTTTGTTTTATTTAAGTCTATAGCAATTAAACCAATCACATTGCATTTAAAGACGAAGTTCTCACCATTGTTAGGAAGATTCCAAATTCTGGATTCAAATCAACACAATCACCATCAGAAAAAATGAACTGTTTTTTTCTCTCTTTTCTTGCTGTCAAAACAATATAAATCTGTTGGGCTGCCACTGATAATACAGGCAATTCAATTCTGTTAAACTCATCAAAACAGCCCCAAGAACCGGACTGTGCAAGACCTGGCAGGAAAAACAGTTAATTTGAAAAGTTTTACTTTGTAATATACCTGCTACCAAGAAGAATCACTTCTCTAAAGTGCTCTCAATTATATATTGATATACAGCTTATATAAAGTGTCAAATCTGGCTGTTTGTAAAGACATACCTAATTCCAGTGACATCGAGAGGTTTAAGTATTTGTACATCATCCTGGAAATAATGAAAATAGTGCACTGCCAAAATCAAAGTATAGACACGTCATTACGCCCAGTGATGCCAGACGATGATAAATTTTGTTTCAGTTTGGAAGCACTGCTTCCAGTGGGAATGGGGGCTGAAAGAGCCATAATGGTTGGGGAGACTGACATAATGAAACCCACAAAAATATGTGGGTCAGATCACCCTGTTTCTTTCCTGTTGCAATGAAAGACATGTGGGGATGCTAGGTGAGACAGAAAATGGTCAAAGGGATTTTTATTCCTTACAAACTCAATACAAAGAAAGACTTCAGTAATTATGAAGAACATTGCTCCTGTCTTATTTCTAAGTATGAAAACCTTCATTATCTTCAGCTACATGAAATGTTCTTTTTCCTTTTATGATTGCCGCTTCCCCCCAACCCCCCACCCCCGGCCGTTTTTCTTTCCTTTCCTTTGGGAATTTTCATTACACAGATTTTGGAACTTTTGTATCTATCCCTGTGACCTTTAGGCTTTTCTGTCAAACTTCCCATTTTTCTCTACAATGTATTTAGTCTCTTGGCTCGATTATTTAACTCAAAAGAGGTTTTTAATTCAGTAATTTATTTATTATTCCAATGGTTATTTTTTTCATGGCAACCAATTTTTTTCCAATCGGTTGTATGTTACGAATTCTTGAATCCCTCTGAAGCTACTGATTTCATTTACTGTTTTCCCGTTTCCTCTATTAATCTGTTTAGTGATCAGCAGGTCTCTTAGCTGTTTGGGGTCCCTCCTGAATTTCTTCAAATCTGTTTTTGAGACTTTCTTATCTCTGTATATGTGCATATTGCCTCATCCCATTTACCAATTCCTGTTTGCAGGATGCATGCCTGCCCCTGGTGATTTGGGGGAAGGAATGAGAGAAGCAGGAGAGCTTCCCCTCGGGGTCTGGAGTTTTACCTTCTGACCTGGTGCACTGCTTGCCTCTGGCACAAGCCCCCACCGGAGGTTTATCTTTGACAGGACTCCCACTTCAGAGAGCTGAGTTACAACTTTTGTACAGAGGAAAGATACTGGACAGAGCCACTTCCTTTTCTTTTTCTCTGCCGTCTGTAATCATTTTGTCAGTTTGGGATTTACCTTGTGCTCTAGTCTGCTGCTCTCACCCATTCCCAGCCTTCAGGCTAGGAGTCATCTACAGAAGAATCCTTCTCTCTGATGAAGGAAGTAATTTTCAGGGTTCAAAATGGTTTAAGAGGCAATTATAAAGAATAATTTAATGAATACCCATGCACCTACCTATCAAACCTTAACAATTTGCTTCAGATTTCATGCTAAAGAATAAAATATTAAAACTACAGTTCAAATCCACATATGTTTCTCTGGGATCCACACTCCCTCCTTCTCCAGAGGTAGCCTGTATCCTGAATTCAATGCCAGGGGTTCCAGGCATGCTTTAAAAAAACACTGTATATATACTCCTGAAATTTGATTTCTTTGCTCAACATTCTTTTTCTGAGATTTATCTAAGCTGATACACATAAATCTAATTCACTATCTTAAAAGACTATACTGTACATTAATAGTCACCTTGCAGGCAATACAATGGCACTAAATTCATATCTTTCAATAGTTACCTGGAGTGTAAATGGGCTAAATGCCCCAATCAAAAGACACAGGCTATCAGACTGGATTAAAAAACAAGACCCATCGATATGCTGTCTGCAAGACCCTCATTTTAGACCCAAAGACACCCCCAGATTGAAAGTGAGGGGGTGGAAAACAATTACCATGCTAATGGACACCAAAAGAAAGCTGGGGTGGCAATCCTTATATCAGACAAATTAGATTTTAAACCAAAGACTGTAATAAGAGATGAGGAAGGACACTATATCCTACTTAAAGGGTCTATCCAACAAGAAGATCTAAGAATTGTAAATATCTATGCCCCTAACATGGGACCAGCCAATTATATGAGGCAATTAATAACAAAAGCAAAGAAACACATTGACAGCAATACAATAATAGTGGGGGACTTTAACACCCCCCTGACTGAAATGGACAGATCATCTAAGCAAAAGATCAACAAGGAAATAAAGACTTTAAATGACACATTGGACCAAATGGACTTCACAGAGATATTCAGAACATTCCATCCCAAAGCAACAGAATACACATTCTTCTCTAGTGCCCATGGAACATTCTCCAGAATAGATCAGATCCTAGGTCACAAATCGGGTCTCAATCAGTACCAAAAGATTGGGATCATTCCCTGCATATTTTCAGACCACAATGCTTTGAAACTAGAACTCAATCACAAGAGGAAAGTCGGAAAGAACTCAAATACATGGAGGCTAAAGAGCAACCTACTAAAGAATGAATGGGTCAACCAGGAAATTAAAGAAGAACTAAAAAAATTCATGGAAACAAATGAAAATGGAAACGCAACTGTTCAAAATCTTTGGGATGCAGCAAAGGCAGTCCTGAGAGGAAAGTATATAGCAATACAAGCCTTTCTCAAGAAACAAGAAAGGTCTCAAATACACAACCTAACCCTACACCTAAAGGAGCTGGAGAAAGAACAGCAAATAAAGCCTAAACCCAGCAGGAGAAGAGAAATAATAAAGATCAGAGCAGAAATCAATGAAATAGAAACCAAAAGAACAGTAGAACAGATCAATGAAACTAGGAGTTGGTTCTTTGAAAGAATTAACAAGATTGATAAACCCCTGGCCAGACTTATCAAAAAGAAGAGAAATGACCCAAATCAACAAAATCATGAATGAAAGAGGAGAGATCCCAACCAACACCAAAGAAATACAAACAATTATAAGAACATATTATGTGCAACTCTATGCCAGCAAGTTAGATCACCTGGAAGAAATGGATGCATTCCTAGAGATGTATCAACCACCAAAACTGAACCAGGAAGAAATAGAAAACCTGAATAGACCTATACCACTAAGGAAATTGAAGCAGTCACCAAAAATCTCCCAACAAACAAAAGCCCAGGGGCAGATGGCTTCCCAGGGGAATTCTACCAAACATTTCAAGAAGAATTAATACCTATTTTCCTGAAACTGTTCCAAAAAATAGAAATGGAAGGAAAACTTCAGAACTCGTTTTATGAGGCCACTATTACCTTGATCCCCAAACCAAAGAACCCATCAAAAAGGAGAATTACAGACCAATATCCTTGATGAACATGGATGCAAATATTCTCACCAAAATACTAGCCACTAGGATCCAACAGTACATTAAAAGGATTATTCACCACGACCAAGTGGGATTTATCCCAGGGCTGCAGGGCTGGTTCAACATCTGCAAATCAATCAACGTGATACAATACATTAACAAAAGAAAGAACAAGGATCATATGATCCTCTCAATAGATGCAGAAAAAGCATTTGACAAAGTACAGCATCCTTTCTTGATCAAAACTCTTCAGGGTATAGGGATAGAGGGTACATACCTCAATATCATAAAAGCCATCTATGAAAAACCCACAGCGAATATCATTCTCAATGGGGAAAAACTAAGAGTTTTCCCCCTAAGGTCAGGAATGCGGCAGGGATGTCCAGTATCACCACTGCTATTCAACATGGTATTAGAAGTCCTAGCCACAGCAATCAGACAACAAAAAGAAATCAAAGGCATCCAAATCGGCAAAGAGGAAGTCAAACTCTCACTCTTGGCAGATGATATGATACTTTATGTGGAAAACCCAAAAGACTCCCCCCCAAAACTGCTAGAACTCATACAGGAATTCAGTCAAGTAGCAGGATATAAAATCAATGCACAGAAATCAGTGGCATTCCTATACACCAACAACAAGACAGAAGAGAGACAAATCAAGCAGTCAATCCCATTTACAATTGCACCCAAAACCATAAGATACCTAGGAATAAATTTAACCAAACAGACAAAGGACCTGTACTCAGAAAACTATAAAATACTCATGAAAGAAATTGAAGAAGACACAAAAAAATGGAAAAACTTTCCATGCTCATGGATTCTAAGAACAAACATTGTGAAGATGTCAATGCTACCTAGACAATCTACACATTCAATGCAATCCCCATCAAAATACCATCCACTTTTCTCAAAGAAATGGAACAAATAATCCTAAATTTTGTATGGAACCAGAAAAGACCCCACATAGCCAGAGGAATGTTGAAAAAGAAAAGCAAAGCTGGCAGCATCACAATTCCGGACTTCCAGCTCTATTACAAAGCTGTCATCATCAAGACAGTATGGTACTGGCACAAAAACAGACACATAGATCAATGGAACAGAATCAAGAGCCCAGAAATGGACCCTCAACTCTATGGTCAACTCATCTTTGACAAAGCAGGAAAGAATGTCCAATGGCAAAAAGACAGTCTCTTCAACAAATGGTGTTGGGAAAATTGGACAGCCACATGCAGAAGAATGAAACTGGACCATTTCCTTACACCACACACACAAATAGACTCCAAATGGTTGAAAGACCTAAACGTGAGACAGGAGTCCATCAAAATCCTAAAGGAGAACACAGGCCTCAGCCTCTTCGACCTCAGCCGCAGCAACTTCTTCCTAGAAACATTGCCAAAGGCAAGGGAAGCAAGGGCAAAAATGAACTATTGGGACTTCATCAAGATAAAAAGCTTTTGCACGGCAAAAGAAACAGACTACAAAACCAAAAGACAACCGACAAAATGGGAGAAGATATTTGCAAATGACATATCAGATAAAGGGCTAGTATCCAAAATCTATAAAGAACTTCTTAAACTCAACACCCAAAGAACAAATGATCCAATCTAGAAATGGGCAGAAGACATGAACAGACATTTTTCCAAAGAAGACATCCAAATGGCCAACAGACACATGAAAAAGTGCTCAACATCACTCGGCATCAGGGAAATCCAAATCAAAACCTCAATGAGATACCACCTCACACCCATCCGAATGGCTAAAATTAACAAGTCAGGAAATGACAGATGTTGGCAGGGATGTGGAGAAAGGGGAGCCCTCCTACACTGTTGGTGGGAATGCAAGCTGGTGCAACCCCTCTGGAAAACAATATGGAGGTTCCTCAAACAGTTGAAAATAGAGTTACCATACGATCCAGCAATTGCACTACTGGGTATTTACCCCAAAGATACAAATGTAGGGATCCAAAGGGGTACATGCACCCCGATGTCTATAGCAGCAATGTCCACAATAGCCAAACTGTGGAAAGAGCCAAGATGTCCAACAACAGAGGAATGGATAAAGAAGAAGTGGTATATATATATACAATGGAATATTATGCAGCCATCAAAAGGAATGAGATCTTGCCATTTGCAATGACAAGGATGGAACTGGAGGGTGTTATGCTGAGTGAAATAAGTCAATCAGAGAAAGACATGTATCATATCACCTCACTGATATGAGGAATTCTTAATCTCAGGAAACAAACTGAGGGTTGCTGCAGTGGGGGTGGGGTGGGACAGATGGGGTGGCTGGGTGATAGACATTGGGGAGGGTATGTGCTATGGTGAGCACTGTGAATTGTGCAAGACTGTTGAATCACAGATCTGTACCTCTGAAACAAATAATGCAATATATGTTAAGAAAAAAAAAAAGAAGACGACGATAGCAGGAGGGGAAGAATGAAGGGGGGGGGAATCGAAGGGGGAGACGAACAATGAGAGACGATGGACTCTGAAAACCAAAGTGAGGGTTCTAGAGGGGAGGGTGGTGGGGGGATAGGTTAGCCTGGTGATGGGTATTAAAGAGGGCACGTTCTGCATGGAGCACTGGGTGTTATGCACAAACAATGAATCATGGAACACTACATCCAAAACTAAAATGATGTAATGTATGGTGATTAACATAACAATAAAAAAATTTAAAGGGAAAGAAAAAAAGACTATACAGTATTCCACTGCATAAATATACAGTTTAAAAATTCATTCTACTTTCAATGGATATTTGTTTGCTCCTGATAATTTGCTATAACGATGTATGAGCTCATGTCTTCTTACAACTTGTGAGAGGAGTGGAAATTTTGGGTCAAAAGAGAGTATCTTCAGAACATTTACCACCTGTTGCCAGGCTGTTCTCAGAAGCAGCTCTCCCAATTTACACACAGGTAGGAAGTATTAACAGCTATAATTTCTACACATCCTTACCAACAGTGGTTTTGCCAGACTTTTCCATTTTTGCCAATCTGGCAGGAGTGAGACTGGCATCTCATTATTGTTTTATTTTGGGTTCTTAATGATTGGAAGAAAATCTTTTTTAATGCTGGATATTAATTTTTTTGTTAGCTATACATGTTAAATATCTTCTCCCACTCTATAGCTTATGTTTTGTTCTCTTTCTTAATTGGAGAAATATCACACAAGGACTGTGTATTCATATATATATATAAATGTAGATATAATATATATGACTGTGTATTCATATATATATTTCAGATATTATGTACATATATTAAAGGTGAGAGCTGGATGTGAATTCTCAGGATATCTATTACAGGGATATTCTCATATCATATTTAAAGGAAGGGCTGCATGGGTGGCTCATGATTTTAATACAAGGAAGCTCCAATGAACTTCTCCCCTACCGTACCCCCTTTCTTCCCTCCCAGAGGGAGGGACTGCTAGTCTGAACTTTGTGACAATCATCCTCTTGCTTTGCTTTGCTTTCTTACTATTTCTGTATACATATCTAAATGATATATATTTTTAATTTTACCTATTTTTTAATTTAAATAAATTTAATCATACTATATGTGTTTTTGTGAGACTAGTTTCCTTCACTCTATATCTGTGAGACTGTTCTATGTCAATGCATCGTCTTGTAGTTACTCATTTTCATTGCTCCCATAGCGCTGTTATACACAATTTCATATATATATACATTATGTTTTTCCTTCCTATATATATAATATATAAATTATATTTTCCCAATTGATGTATTTAGGCATCCACTCCACTGTAGAGGACACTAGAGTTGTTTCCAGTTGTTTGTTGTTTTAAGCAATGCTGCAGTGAACATCTACACACAGACCCCAGTGCATGAGTGTCATTTCTCTGACTATAGACCAGGAGGTGGGATAGATGAAAATACACATGGTGTGGTTTTTTCCAAGCAACTTTTTTACTCCTACCAGTAGCTGATGATTATTTCTGTTATGCTATACCTTGCCAATGGTCAAAAATGTCACACTTAAATTTTTTCAATCTGGTGTGTATGTACAAAATGGAATCTCTTTATAATATGTAATTCTTCAATTGCTGGTGACTTGATTTTCTTCATTCATGAAATGCATATTCAAGACTTTTTCTCTGTTTTCTATTGGGTTATCTTTCTCTCATTCATTCGTGGGCATTACTCATGTATTTGTGATCCTAATCCTTTGTAGGTAACATAGGTTGCTAATGCCTTTCCAAATTTCTGGCATGGCTTTCCTCTCTTTGGTATCCATCGATGAACAGAAGTTTTTAATTGAGGCTAAGCCATGTAACAATCTTTACTTTATGGCTTGTGATTTTTGTATTAAAAATCCCTTTCTCTGAGAACAAAGATATTTTCATTTATTACCTTCTAAAAACTGTATGGTTTTGCCCACCACATTTAGGTGTTTAATCCCCAGAACTGATTTTTATATATGGTGTAGGCATCCAATTTTTATGTGTGTAGGGATCTGATTTCTGTTGTTAAATATTAATCATCTCTTGTCCCAGAATGATTTATAGTAAAGTCTATCTCTTCATCACTGATTTACAATACCATCTTTGCCATATGTCAAATGTCCTTGGCCCATTTTTGCATTCTCTATTATATTCCACTGGTCCATTTATCAATCCCTGCACCAATACCACCATCTCTAAATTCTGTTCTAAATGATATCTTTCGTTTCAATGGGATTTAATTCAGGAAGGGAAGCCACATGTGTCATGGGTTTGCTATCTTGATCTTATCCCCTCTACCACTGTTTCAGGCAATAATAAATTGATTTCATTTTCACAATCCAATACACATTCAATTCATGGACTAAAATGCCAGCAATAGCACTGAACCATATGAAATTGATGACATCTAGCCATTTTGACCCAGAAAAATGGCAATATCATATGCACCAACCTATACACATTTTAGTGATGTGGAATAATATCCCTTTAGGTTAATATCAGAAAATAATGTTAAAGAGCAATAAAAATACATTCACCAACAATGATTTCACAGTGTTTGACACTTGCCTTTAAAAATCCGTCCTAGCCCTCGGAAATCCATTTGATCTGAGCAGTTAAACACAACCACGTATTTCCCCAAACATCTTCCCATGTCTTTCGTAGTTTCTGTTTTGCCAGTGCCCGCAGGTCCTGCTGGAGCACCTCCCATGTTCATTCCCAAAGCCTGCGCTAAAGTGATATAGCATCTGCAAATGGGAATCAGAGAAAGCACCAGGAGTGTGGGAGAACACATTACTGCCCCAAAGCACAAGCCAGAGTTGGATGTGACTGGAATGGGCCTGTTTATTTGAGAATTTGAGCCAGCCATGTAAAAGAGGCTAGAGTACTTGATATTCACTAGCGGTAGTACAGTGATTGCAAACATTTCTTGGGACAAGTTTCTAAACTCCTCAACCCTGACTTAAAACCTTCAGGCCTTCCTTGAGCTGTGGTCAGGATAAGTCATAAGTCAGGGAACCATATAAGCCGGGGTATACTGGCAGATGGGGAACAACTGGCCCTCCAGGAAAAATAAATAAATAAATCTGATTTTCATGTTTGCCAATTGCAGTGGTATGAATACTTCCACTAGGGCTCATGACAAGCTACTGACGTGATATCACAAAACTGGGAAGAGATGCTTAGAGTTGACTCTCAAAAGCTGGTATAAGGGTGCCTGGGTGGCTCAGTTAGTTAAGCATCTGCCTTCGGCTCAGGTTATGATCCCAGGGTCCTGGGATCGAGTCCCATGTCAGGCTCCCTGCTCAGTGGGGAGTCTGCTTCTCCCTCTGACCCTACCCCTCTCATGCTCTCTCTCTCTCATTCTCTCTCTCCCAAATAAATAAATATTAAAAAAAAAAAAAAGCTGGTACGAGTCAACTCCAGGACACCATTGCAAATAAATCATTTTACTACGAAATTTTTCACTCATTGAGGTAAGTATAAAGAATAATATAATGAATCTTCTTGTATCCATGATCCAGCTTAAGTGATATGTGTTTCAGATCTAAGTAAAACTTAGTGAAGCTTCCTGAGACATGAAGCTTTATATGCAAACCTCAGTGGAAGAGGAAACTCCTGGACACATTTATGCTACAGTGGTGCTGGGCATACAGAAGGAGGCTGGATGAATCAAGAGACTAAAAACATAATACCTGCAGGCAGCCCTATTTAAAGGAACAACAGAATTAATCATTCTATGACCCAGTTTAAGTTAAGTCTATAAGTACTTATTGAGCATCTTCTATGTACAGCATATTGAACTAGGTGCCGTGGGATACGTAGAGATGAAAAAGGCCCAGTTCTCTCTGATGTCATATACTGGAAAGAACTGTGAGGAGATTGGCCATTGCCTGTTTATTCATACCGGGCCAAGAAACTTGACTTTAGGTATCCATTTCTACATTTGGAAAACCAGGAGACTAAATTCGATCATCTCCAAGGTCCCTTCCTTCTTTGCAATTCTAACGACTTCCCTTTATGGTGCCAGAGATATTTTTCATCTTGCGATCTAAAATTCATTACTTTATTACCCACAATGTTCAAGCTTGCTTTCATTCTTTTATCTTTTTCTGCTTCACAAAAATGTAATGCAGGTGTATGTTTAAGTAATAACCTTGGTTATTTCATTGTTAGACTGACTTTGATGAGCTAGCATAGACCTAACACAACAGCAAGATGCTTTTGTTAATATTTTGTTAATATTTCAAATGCAATTTGAAAGCAATGTTAAGCACATCGTTTAATTACAAAGTGGAATAACAAAAACTGAGTGTCCTACCTATCTGTTAATGGAGTGATGACAAGACGGTCAGTGCATCCCAGAAATTCATTCTGGTAAATAAAATCCACATCTGTAATAGACACCACAGTTTGATCCAAATCTTCCTTAAAATAAAATCTACTCTGTTTTAGCCATTCAAAGTCAGTAACTGATTTGATATGCATTTTTACCTTAAAAACATGAAATACAAAGAGATTACATACTGAATTGCAATAGCATAAAACACAAGCATATAGGCAGTTTTTATTCACTCCTTTGTGAACTGATTCTCATTTATTTAACATATATTTCTTGGGTCCCTCCTTGGGACTGACACTGTGCTGTGAACACAGACAGGCATTGTTCCTGACTTCTAGAGCTGACAAAAGAAGATAAAAGACAAACAGATAAGCAAGTAACTGCAAAAACAGTATGAAAAGAAATTCAGGGTTCATGGAAATATGTAGCAAGAGGATCCTAAGGTAGTCTAGGGGGCCTGAAAGGGATACTTGGAGAAAGAAATATTCAAACTAAAACCTGAAAAAAATAGTAGGAATTACCCAGGGAAACAAAACCAAAAGAAAAAAACAAGTAAGTTTTTTAAAAGGGTTGACTTTGTCCTAGGCAAAGACCCAGAAGATCTGGCTGCATGTTCAAGAAACTGAAAGAAGTTCAGTACAGCTAAGGCATCTGGGACTTGAGAGAAAGAGAGAGTTGAGGCTTCACAGGACATGGAAACAGAGTTGAGCAGTGTTCTCATAGCAAAAGGAAGCCATGGAAGGGATTAGCAGGGAGTGCACAGTCAGTTACGCACACGTGCCTTCCTATACCAGCACTGTGGCCAAACCCACCAACCTGCCGGGTCATCAGCATACACCTATGGGCAAGTGGTCCTGGGCTCCCACAGCTGTGCGTGCAAGAGAGAGAAACCAAGGAAGCACATTTAGGAACAACATCCCACCACAACCACATTCTCAGGCTCTTCATGATTTTCCCTGGGCAAACTTGGAGAAAACTCGGTCCTGCCCACTCAGGGCAAGCATCACAGGAAAGTGGTAAATGATCCCTATCACTGCTCTTAAACTCGGTCCCACTTCCAGGTCATTCAGCTGGCTTCTGACAACCCTGCCATGTTCGGGCCTCCATCTAATCAAGTCTCCATGCGGTGTACAGTCTTGCTTTTTGTCATCATCATTTGTTTATGACCTTGCTTCCCCCTGAAGTTAGGAATTCTGGCTTCTGGGCTAAAGCACAGTTTGTATTCATCACTTTAAGGGGCAACTTTCAGGTAACATGATCCAGTGTCTCCCCCAGGAACTCTCTCTCCCACACAGGACCTGCAGCCATGGAAATGCTGTCAACTGGCTCCTCTCAACAATCCTTTAAGATGGTGAGGAAGAGACAGAAGATGAAGAAAAAAGAATAGCTAATACTGATTGAGCTCTTACCGTGTATCAGGCTGTTCTAAGCATCATACATGGAAAAATAAAATGCAAATATGCCAGCCGTGACATCTCATTTTAGTTGGGATGCCGAGAGACCATGAGTTCAATAGTAATTAAGACAAAAAGAATACAGTTATGTGGTTTTAACTGTGTATCAGTTTTTCTTTTTAAAAATCCATTCTGTATATAGAAGTAAAGCTTTGCTCAGCGCTTAAATCTGAAAGAAATTTCTTCCATGGGATTTCAGCTTCAAGAGTCAGCGAGAGAGGGGCGCCTGGGTGGCTCCGTTGATTGGGCATCTGCCTTGGGCTCAGGTCATGATCCCAGAGTCCTGGGATCGAGCTCTGCTTCCAGCTCCTTGCTCAGCAGGGAGCCTGCTTCTCCCTCTGCCTGCCACTCCCCCTGCTTGTACTCTCTCTCTCTCTCTCTCTGTCAAATAACTCAATAAAATCTTAAAAAAAAAAAAAAGGAGTCAGCAAGAAATGTTAGCCCCATGCTCTTCGCAGATATAGTAATGGATTCCACAGGAGTTTCTTGAGGTGGACTTCAAAGAAAGCCAAAGTATGACAGTAACTGCAATTTAGTGAAAGCAGCTCTCTAGATGGTAAGGAACCATGGTCTGAGTATGCAGCTCTCTGGTGGCTGGCTTGATCAGAAGATCCAGAGATATATCCTAAAGCAGTGTTTCCTCAACTCGAACATGCATATATGAATCACCTGGGAATCTTGAAATGCAGATTCTGATTCAGTGGGGGTGGGGGGAGGGGGCTGGAGATTCTGCTTTTCTAACCAGCTCCCAGGAGATGCTAATGCAACTGGTTGGCATATAATAATACTTTGAGAAGTGAGGATCTAGATTCCAGGGGAATAAATGGACTGCATGTCCTTCAACCTTCCATAAATATGACTTATCTGATAGAATTCTTTTTTTTAAGATTTTATTTATTTATTTGAGAGAGAGAGAACAAGCAGGGGGAGAGGGAGAAGCAGACTCTCTGCTGAGCAGGGAGCCCAATGTGGGGCTCGAACCCAGGACCCCAGGATCATGACCTGAGCCGAAGGCAGATGCTTAACCCACTGAGCCACCCAGGTGCCTTGATCAGAGCTTTTGATACAAGTCTGAAACCAGTAGTCTCTGATCATATTCTCTAAAAAAGAGCCCCAAGTTGTATGAATTACATGTCTCTGGTGTAGAAAAGAGATGCCTTTAAGATGAATCAAATCAATTGATGGTTGTTAAAGACAAAGATAGTCAGATGGTGTTGTATCAAAACCTCCTGGGCCCCTACCCTATAATGATAACCACTGCTTTAGGAGAACTTTAGCTTGCTCAAGACCTCTGGTTAGAGTTCTGCTCCTGGAGGGATTTCAAATACCACCCCTCCTACTCTCACCCTACAGAACCTTGTCCAAATCAAGCCCATGATGCCCCGTTGGACACTATCAATCAGACAAATATCAGTGAGACTTCTCTGAAGCTTGATTCTATTTGATCAAGACTTCTTTCTAAATGAAGCAAATAACTCATGACCAATCCCACTTATACTGTATCATGTCCCTGGTGATTTGGTATAATGGAACAAGTAGTTAGTTCACATCTCATCAGCTGGTTCCAGACTTTCAGAATGCCATATATGAATATACACATATGGTTGTTTAAACCACCAAATAGGGATATTTGTAGCCATGGTATATATGGAGACAGTTGCAGAAAAGGACCAAGTAGATGGAAGGTTCATATATGTTAGAGAATAGATATAATACCTAATTATTCATTATTAGGAGCACTAAATTGTTAATTAGTATACTAAATTAGTTTAAGAAAAAAAAAGATACTTTACCAAGTCATCAAAAATATCTCTCTGATGCACATGGATGGTAATCAGAGTTTCAAACTTCACTCTATCAAACTTGCTTAGGTCATGTGTTGTCTGACTAATTAGAGTATTTAGAAGGTCCAAAAATTTCTGATTGGTTATGTGCATGATTTTCCTGTCATCTTTTGCATTATTTAAAGCCTCTTCTGAATCATGTGTCCACAACATCTGAATTCCCAGAAGCCCCACCTATGCATCCAGAAGAAAAATAATAAGTAAATTTGCCAACTATGTAAAGCACGTCTATGATAAAATTTGGTGGTCACTCACCCAATGTGAAGGTGAACAAGGTTGACCCACTTTAAACTAAAAAAGAGATATGCATTTCTCCACTCCCAAAAGGGGAAAAATAAACATTTAAAGTTCTAACTACTGATATTTAATGACTTCAATGCAGAGAGATAAATAGTAATTTAAACGATGGCTACCATTTATGGAGTTGTGTGTGTTTTATGAAGGATGCTTAGGAAATTTTTCTATAAAGGGTCTGCGACCACCAGATAGCTCCATATGATGATTTTTCTTTGTCAAAGAAAGCAAACAGAATTACTAGACTCATTGTTGAGTATTTTTCTGTAGCAAGGTTTCCCAAAGGTCTCTCTGCAACTTCTAGAAACAGTACACTATCTCCTTTCTTCCACTCTCTCTATCATCTGTACCTTTTCCTACATCTACTTCTCTCTCTATATATTTATCTGGAGGAGAGAGAGAGAGAGACAGAAAATGAGAAAGGGGAGAAGCTAGTACTTTTTCTCCTGATGGCGGCGTAAGGAAATTGGGACTGTCACCTTGCCTACAGTTTCTACCCCGGGAAAGGAGTAAAATTGTCGGAACATGGCCCACCCTCACCTTGCCACACCGGTCATCCCTTTAGGAGCTTTTGTTCACCAGCAGAGTCGAGCAACAGATCCAAGATCATTCGGACCAAAGGCAACCTCACATTTGGTGGAGGGCTGAGAGCAGAGTGAGTGGCATGGGGATACTACTGGGCACAGCCTTTAGTGTGGCTAAGGCAGGAATATAACCCTTTCCTTATCCCTGCCTCCTCAAGACTGCAAAATGTTTTCTGCTAGAGCAGTGGCCAATCCTGCGGGTCTGCAGGTGAAGATAAATGAAGGCACCCGACTGAGGTGAGAGCAACCTGGTGTGGAGGAAACCTCCCATGTCAGGAAGCTCCCAGTAGCAAGCCAATTCTGACTCCGATAGCAGCAGCTGATGGCACAAGAGAGGAAAAGCAAAAAACAAACAAACAAACAAACACCCAAAAAACAAAAATACCCAGCAGTGTAAGGCTATCTGATTTAGAGACACAGACCCACAATCTCTGAGAAATCACAGCTTAGTGGTATATTCTAAAAACTAATCTTTAAAAGCCTGGCTGGCTCAAAGCATGCAACCCTTGATCTCAGGGTTGTGTAGTTCAAGCCCCAGGTTGGGTATAGAGATTACTTAAAAATAAAAGGACTCTCCTGAGTCATCAAGGAAAGTTTAAATTATGTTTTTTACTCAGTTTATGAAGTCAGGAGACTTAATGGTGAAAACTGGAGGATGTCTCATTAAAATAAAAATAAAACAAGAATGCTCATTCTCCTCAGTGTTACTGCCTGTAATAAGATGTTAAAAATGCTAGAAGGGAATACACTAAAATGTTAAGTCCTCATTTCCAGATGGTAGAAGTAAGTAATGTATATATTGAATAAATATGCATGTATAGAATATATACTGGATGAATATATACCTTAATTACTCTTTAAAGCAATTTTTCCAAATAACTAAAATTTGCCCGCTAAAACTGTTTAAAATTTCATCTCCTTATTTGTGTCGTATACACACTACGGAAAATCCTGATGGCTGGTCAACCTTCCTGCTATATCCTGCTCAACTTCACTCCTGCTCTGAACTTGCTTTCAGCTCACCACATAATGTTGACTGCTCTGTCTAGACTAGACTGATCGTCTCCTCCAGAACATACGGGCGATCAGCCCTTCCTGGGAGAGGGAGAGTATACTGATTGGGTCTTACCAAATGAAGTATTCTATAAAACTTCATCACAAGGGTAATAAAGCTGATAAGGATATTAGAGTTTGCCAAGGAGATTATACAATACGAAAATATTAAATACAATATCAAAATATTCTTTCCAATAAAGGTTGATTCTGTATCAGTACTTGTGTCATTTGAATAAGTAATTTCCTATCATTTCAGCTGTCTCCACTGTGTGTGCATTAAGTTGGGATTTGGAGGCTGGGCTGGGAGGAACAGTTCGAGAAGTACGTTTGGGTAAAAACTACCTATATTCTCCTCGGATATCTCTTGCCTTCTCTCCCACACTATCTCTGACCCAGATCACAAAGCATCCCTCTTCATTTATTTTGGCTGAAATTTGAAAATTTGAATGCAACTGTTGGCTCTTCTTTTCCTGCACCAGTTTTAATAATACTTGGTGCATCGTGAAGCATTCCTGAGAGCCTTAGGACGTGAGAGCTATTCAGGAGAACACGTGCTCCAACCTCAGGCTCTTCAAGGTCCTGTCCTGTTAGGAGGTTAGTTGCATGACAAGGCCTCCTTTAACAGATGATGCCAACTTTTAATCCCTTGAAGTGAAGATACACAAAAGGCGAGATGGATTTTGTTTCAGCAAAAGCTATGCTCATTCCTTTTATATAGGTCTGTATTCCTGTCTGTATCTGCATCTCTATCTATCCACACATAGACATATGGAAAATATGCCATCTAATCCATACACACATAGATGTCTTTCATATACAGATAGGTGTGTCTTGTATGTAAGATGAAATTTTCCATCAGTGAGCTTAGTCTTAGTGTTATCCTTAATGATGGGAGAAGAGTGGCAAATCCTCTTCCGGGGAATGGGGTGGGTTGGCCTAGAACGGTGTAGGCAGACATGCAGGCAGCTGAGGGTGGGAAGGCCTCCCTAGAGTTCAGAGCTACGACAGCTGCCACACCATCAGGCCAACTGCTTCCCGAGTATCCTTCCCCCTTATTTCCATCATTCTAAACATTACATAGTCTCACCTGTGCTGGGAAGTGATTGAGGAAAGGTAAGAGTTGAAATCCTGAATCGCTGATTTGGTAGAATGCAGATCTAATTATATTATGTAGGGACGACATCTGCATTTTTAACAAATCCATAAGCCAAATCTCCACAGGACCTTTGGCCATAATAGGACCATCCAACTAAAAAATGTATTACAGATATATTACAAATTGATAATAATTTCTTATTTTTACAAATGTCACACTTCACTTGATAAATCATAGTACCTCAGGGCAAAGCAAATAATTTTACACAGTATATTCAAAACACGAGAAAGATCAACTAATATTGTAGGTGGAAGGAACTAGAAACATCATCTGGTCTAAAATTTTCATCTTCCAGATGACAGAACAAGTCTCAGAGAAGTCAAATAAGTTACTCAAACTCATCTGTAACCAAGCCAGGGTGAAAGGACTAGGCCCCAAGTCCACCCCCCTCCCCCACTCTCTGTTGTTCAAAAGAGAATTGCATTCTCCTCAACCCAAATTTTTGAAGAAATCCAAATAACAAAATTGTAACCAAGTGAAATTACAATAATTTTTTCTCCTTCTCTTGATACGACGGCCAGGATATGATCGTAGTCTTTTGCATGAAATGTCACCTCATTTATGTTGTCAGATACTGCAGGGAGATGTGGCTACAGAAAGCACAAGACAGAGCAAAAACATCATACATGAGACTAAACACAAAAGCCACTGAGGCGTATTCAAAAGCCTTAACATATATTGACTTTGAAAGAGATTAAGAATTTACCTCATGGTGTCAACGAATAAAGACACAAACAAAGCACTGCTTTGACCCCCGACTGACTTGGAGGCCCACTTTTTAAGATCCAGCCCCACAGCCTGTTTCCTGCAAATGCCCTTGTTCCACTATCGAGGCTGGACTAAGACTGTCGCCTTCCTCCACATGGAGACTGAACCCCGCACTTCCTACCCACGTCCCTCCCAGACACAGCTCTGTCCTGCTTCTCTCCTGTTTCTCTCTCTGCCTGACACCAGCTTTGACTTCCCTCCTCTCTTTTTGCTTCCCTCCAGCTCCCTGGAAACCAGCAAGGAAGACATTAGTAGTGGCTTCCCAGATTGCCAAACCAGACACAGCTCTGGAATGGGGTGTTTCAGTGCCTCCCACACCTGGTTCTTTGTCATTTTTCTCTGCTTTCTGGAAGTACGGCCCTTGGAAATGGCTAAAAGCACTTGAGAAGCACTTGGATTTGGACAAATCTAAACCACAATCCCTATTTGATCTAAAAATATTTAGACTAAAATGCTCACAATAATGAATTACATTTGGTGAGCACATACTGTGTTCTAGGTATTTTCCAGTACACGATCTCATGTAATCCTTATGACAATCCTTTAAGGTGGGAACCATTAACATCCTTATTTTACAGATGAGGAAACTGAGGCACGAGAAAATTAAGAAGCTGGTTAAGGTCACTCAGCTGTTGAGTTGTATAATCAGTGACTCTTGCCTCAGGTTGATGAGCTCAGAATACACAGAAAATAGGACATTTTATCCTCAACATAATTTTTAATACTCTCCTGCCTGTTCTTTTTAGATGCTAACTTCGTTTTTATTATTAATTATGTGTGCTGTGTAAAAAAGCAATTTAGGTAATAGATTTTAAGATTATACCTGTATGGTGTGGGAGTCACTGGCTTGTCCAAGAATTTCCAGGAGAACTGGATCAGATACAAAGAAGAATCTTGGAAACAGTAATCTCTTCTTCTCCAAATACCTTTAAATAAAGTCATGTTACCAAATGACTTTTTCTGAATTATTAATTTTTTTTAATTTATTTATTTGAGAGATAGAGTGAGCAAAAGAGAGAGAGCACACATGAGCAGGGGCAGAGGGAGAGGGAGAAGCAGGCTTCCCCGCCGAGTAGGGAGCCTGATGCTGGGCTCAATCCCAGGACCCTGGGACCATGACCTGAGCCGAAGGCAGACGCTTAACGACTGAGCCACCCAGGCGCCCCGAAGTTAAGGGTCTTGAGAAGAGTGAATCCTAGATGATCCAGATGAGCCCTAAATCCCATCATAAGAATCCTCATAAGGGACACACGGGAAGAAGAGGAGAAAGACATGAGAAGACAGAGAGATCTAAATTATGTAGCCACAAGCCAAGGAGCTCCTAGAGCCACCAGAAGCTTGGAGAGGCAAGGAAATACTCTCCCGTTAGCACCTTCCGAAAGTGCTGACACCTCGATTTCAGATTTCTTGCCTCCTGAAGTGTAAGCAAATAAATAAATGTCTGTTGCTTTAAGCCACCCACTTGGTGGGAATTTGTTACAGTGGCCCTATAAAACTACTAAAATGTCTTAACTCCTCGACCCCAAATCTATGGGGTCTTTTTTTGCAGGAAAATTAAATTTATGCTAAATTCCTAGAGCCACTTCAGCCATCCCTACCAAACCAGAAATGCCGTCAATATTATTTACTTGTATGGGATAAAACACCATCACATATAAAATGAGAGGAAACTTAAAACTTCAGCTCTTACCCTGTGAGTGACTTCTGACATACTTCCAACTGTTCGTGCAAATGAGGTAAAAGCTGCCCCATGGTTTCATCTCCAACACAGCAACTGATCACGTTGGGGTTCTCGTGAGCTCGCTGCATTATCTTCATCCATGACTTGTCAATATTCTGAAACCGCTTTGCTTCCTAAAAACAAACTCCTAGTTAGGAAAAATTAGCATTTGAATAAAGCAAAGTCTTCATTTTGGAATTTCCTAGAGTTCCTCAGACCAGCTTCTACTCGTTCTCAGTCTACATAATTTAAAGGAGCAATTTTTTTTATCTGAATTAATTCTGGACAACAAAAACCCAAAGTCATAAAACTGCTTACTGAAATACTGCTTTGTCACAATGGGGCTTATCGCTGATTTGTTTTCTTACATTTAATACATTTTTCAAAATGCCACACAATTAATTTGCAGAGCTATCAACTTAAAGCTCAAATCTAGTCTTTCAGCACCCCAGGTGTTTGGTTTGATGAGCAAACTGAAGAAGCATGAAAATAATTTGATCTCAAGATCCTCTGAATAATTACAGCTCAAAAATACCCCAGGAAAAAGAAAAAAACAAAAAACAGTGAAACCCCAAAACAAAGCTTCATTTACATTTTTGCAAATGAAATTTCCCTATTTACTGTGGATGATATTAAGCTTTGCATTCAATTGTAAAAATGCCTCTAGAATGGCATAATCTTGACTCCTTTAAAACTTTCAAGGGTATTTTTTAAAACAATGCAATTTTCTGATTGAAAAAGAAAAGAATTATGTTCAAAACATGTGTTGTTACAAAGGGATATGAGCCCTTTTCAAAACCCTTTTATCCTTGATTTTTAATTTATATAGATCCTGTATTTATAGAAATCCAGAAAGAGCAGACTTAATTTCATAAGAGGGACATTACCTTCATAGAACAAAGTTATTAGTAAGTGTATTTATTTAAAAGGCCCAAATAAAGCTATCTCAAAGATTTTTGTTAAGGGCTTCTAAAGCTGTTTCTTTGCCCCATGATATATGTCTGATCTATTACTGGTCAACTTACTAATAGTTAATTTGTGCTTACACAATACAGATTAATTTAATTCTACTCTCAGAGGAAGATTATAAGGTTACCTCTTAGAAGAGATGAACTACTATAATTTAATAGCACCATATTTGAATGTACCTCACATCTTCAGACAACCTGGAAATTTGAAAATATGTGAGTTTCTTCTTTCTACTAAAAAAAATTAAGAAATCAGCACATTTTTATGATACATGTCTTTCTCTGATTGACTTATTTCACTAAGCATAACATCCTCCAGTTCCATCCACATCGTGGCAAATGGCAAAATCTCATTCCTTTTGATGGCTGCATAATATTCCATTGTGTATATATACCACTTCTTCTTTATCCATTCATCTGTCGATGGACATCTTGGCTCTTTCCACAGTTTGGCTATTGTGGACATTGCTGCTATAAACATTGGGGTGCACGTACCCCTTCAGGTCCCTACATTTGTATCTTTGAGGTAAATACCCAGTAGTGCAATTGCTGGATCAAATGGTAGCTCTAATTTCAACTGTTTGAGGAACCTCCATACTGTTTTCCAGAGGGGTTGCACCAGCTTGCATTCCCACCAACAGTGTAGGAGGGTTCCCCTTTCTCCCCAT